CTCACCTCAGCCTCCCAAAGGTGCGGGATTACAGGCTGAGCCACCGAGCCCGGCTCGGTAGTACCTGTCTTATAGATAAGTGCCTAGCTCATGAAGTTGTGAAGACAAGTGAATTATGCTTGGTTGATGCATAGTAAAGCAGTCAGTAAGTGTTTTCCCATGTTTTCCCTTCTCAACACCTGTGCCCCTCAGCCTTCCCCCAGGCCTGTATCTCCAAACAGCCTGACCACCCTGCCCCTCCCTTTGCAGCCGGATCCAGAGCAATGTGGAAGGCCTCTACCTGACTGATGGGGTCCCTTTCTCCTGCTGCAGCCCCCACTCACCCCGGCCTTGCCTGCAAAACCAACTTTCAGACCCCTATGCCCACCCCCTCTTTGATCCCCGACAGCCCAACCAGAACCTCTGGACCCGAGGGTGCCACACGGTGCTGCTAGAGCACCTGCAGGACTTGGCAAGCACACTGGGCAGCATGCTGGCTGCCACCTTCCTGCTGCAGGTGAGTTGGCAAAGCATCTGGGGCCTCCTTCCACATGGGACTCCTTGCTGCCTCCAACCCTGGGGCCCCTGGAAACGCTGACCCTCCTTGACTCTTTCCTCTGGCTTCTCCCACAGGCTCTGGTGCTTGTAGGCCTGCGGTACCTGCAGACAGCGCTGGAGGGGCTTGGAGGGGTTATCGATGCAGAAGGAGAGACCCAGGGCTATCTCTTTCCTGGTGGGCTGAAAGATATGCTGAAAGCAGCATGGCTACAGGGAGGGGTTGCCCACAGGCCAGCACCTGAGGAGGCCCCACCAGAAGAGGCACCTCCCAAGGAGGAAATATCTGAGGCCTAGTGGCCCAAAGCTTGGGGTGGCGGGTGGGAAGGAGGGAAAGAGGAGATGGGAATCTCACAACTCCTCACCGAGGCTCCAGCTTGGGTGGGTGGGGGGGTTCCTGGGAATAGAGGGGCTAAGGATAGAGAAAACCAGGTGTCCTAGAGCCTAGCCCTCGTGGCCAGAACCACCAGGGAACAACAGAGGACAAGGTGATGGGCAAATGACATAGGAAGGCCTGGAGACAGCTTCTGGTGCATAGACTCAATAAAGCTTTTGGATAGAAGCCACTGCTCTTTCTTGTCAAGGGGTGGGGGCCCTGGGAGAACGGATTTCTGTCTGATGGAGAAGCCAAGGCTCCAAAGTGTAGCCCCTGGCTCAGCCTGTATAGGGTCAGAAAGCAAGAACAGGTGTGCGAAATGAAGGAAAACAAGAGGCCCCTCCAGGTTGAAATTCTTTATTCTGAAGGTAGGAGGGGGGGTCAGCATGCTCAGGTGGGGAGGGTCCAGCCCAGCTCCTCCAGCCCCCCAGTGCATGCCCAGCCCCAATAAGTTACCCAGTTCCTTAGCCGCCCTCCCTCCTGAGTCTGTCTGTCCTTCTGCTCCACCACAGACAGGGCCAACCCGGCTCAATACAAGGGCTGCTTGTCCCCAGCCTGTGGGCATTGCCACATGACAGGCTGGGGGAAGGGAGAAGCAGCAGGGCCATGCCCTGGACCTGGAGGAGCAGGGGGCCACTTCGGGCTCTGAGGGGTCAGGACTTGGAAAACCACATCCTAGGCAGGCCTGGGGCCCAGTCCCACAAGGTCTGTGCCTGAAGTGAGGTGGTAGTCGGGGTGGGGCTGCCATCACACCTCAACAGCTGGGTCTGAGCCCTGACCCTGACGCTGCAGCTGCTCCTCCTGCTTCATCTTGGGCTTTTCTGTCCGTGTATGCCACACCAGTACCTGTACCGGGAGGGCTGCAGTGAGAGCCGGAACTAGCCAGATCCAGGCCTCTGGGGCCCTTGGTGTGGAATGGATTCTCCAACCCCCTCCACCTACACAGTGTAGGCTGCGAAGTGTGAGGACAGGGTGAAGAAGACTTTAGTGCCTCTGAAACAAGGCCTTATCCTTTCACCCTCTTTGTCACATGGGTTCCCAGAACTCTGGGAGAGGCCTCCCTGGCTCCCATCTTCTCCTTCAGTAGAAATCTGGAGGGTCCCTCGTGGTTCAAACACCCATTCCCCGGGTCTCACTGTACTGCCCCCATCATCTGTCCATCCCAGAGCCAGGCTTCTCTGTGCCCACTTCCATTCCCTTACCCGAGTGCAGTTGGCAGCCCGTGGCTCCAGGTCCTTGGGATCCACAAGGTGGCTCAAGAGACTGCTCTCCAGGTGGCCCCGGGGAGCAGTAGCATCGAACTGGGCACTGGGCTTAGCCAACAGCAAGGGCAGGGCAACAGCAAATCCCGCCATGTCCACGGGGAAGGGCCGGTTGGGCTCCCATGCTGTGTGGAAGCCCACAACCCGGCCATCCTGTACCTGAGGGCCCTCGAATCGCAGGCCGCCCACCAGCCCCACAGGCCACACTGAGACACCATGGGTCCAGCGCATCTAATGGAGGTAGAAGAGAAGAAACAGAGCGGTGGTCCAGGGGATGGGGGCAGCTGGAAGAGCCACTTGGCTCAGTCTGCCCCAGGGCTTCTCTGCTCTTTACCCAGCAGCCCTGGTAAACAAGGTGATGAATGAAGCTGGCCCCACTTGGTCTCCTGCCCCTGCCCCATCCCGGTGCTCACCTCCTCAAAGAGCTCCCGGCTGTAGGTGTTGTCATCGTCGGCAAAGTACACAACTGCCTGGGTCCCTGGTGGTGGTGGGTCCTTCTTCCCTGCCACAGCACCCCCTCTGCCCCGGAGCCAGTCCAGAGCCTTGTTCCGTTGCTCTACACCACGAGGCCGAACCCAGCCTGGCTCACCCTCCCGAAGCCGCTGGGCCTTGGGTGTGAGGACCACGAGGTGTGTGAAGAGGAGGCCAGAGGCGGCCAGCAGCCCGGAGACCAGCGGGGTAGGGCCCTCAGCGTCCTCTACCAGCAGCCAATGCAGCCGGGGCACCAGGCTCAGTGTCTGGGACAGCCGTACCAACTCTGCCTTCTGTACCAGCCTGCAGGGGAGAGATGCAGCAGGAGGGGAGGGGTGGGCACCATTCGCCCACTCCAGCCAGGGCAGTTTTCCCTGGGCCGCTGTCAGCATCTCCCATAGCCATAGGGAAACCTGACCAGTGCTCAAACTCCTTTTCTCGCCTGTCAACTTCACGCTGACACTCTTCCAGTCCAGGTCTGTTTGTCCAGTCCATGTCTGCCACCCACCTCCACCCCAAGTTTCTGCCCTGTTCTTCCAGTCCATGTCTGTCACTCATCTCAACCCCAGGACTCTGGCTGTGGGAGACTATAAATTAAGGGCAAAGGCTTTGGGATCAGATAGATATGAGTTTGAAGCCCAGCTTTGTAAGTTATCAGCAACAACACCGTCGTGGGAAAAATGGCTCAGTCCCCCTGAGTCTCATTTTCCTCAGCTGTAAAATTGGAGTAACAGTATTTTATGTTACTGTAAAGATTAAATAAGACACTTTTTTTTTAGTTGGAATCTCACTCTGTCATCCAGGTTGGAGTGCTGTGGCACACTCACGGACACCACGGTCTTGACCTGCTGGGCTCAGGGGATCCTTCCACCTCAGCCTTCCAAGTAGCTGGAACTACAGACGCACGCCATCACACCTGGCTAGTTTTTGTGATTTTGTGATTGTAGAGATGAGGTCTCACCAAGTTGCCCAGGCTGATCTCGAACCCCTGGACTCAACCAATCCTCTCACCTTGGCCTCCCAAAGTGCTGGGATTACAGGCTGAGCCACCAAGCCCAGTCTTTTTGATTTATTGTAGAGATGATGTCTCGCCAGTTTACTCAGACGGGTCTCAAACTAGTGGGCTCAGACAATCCTCTCACCTCAGCCTCCCAAAGCGCTGGGATTATAGGCGTGAGTCACCTTGCCTGGCCTAAGACACTTTCTAAAACACCAGTAGAACAGGTTCTTTTCCTTCTGTGCTGGGCTTCCAGAGAGAGGAATTTACTTTAGAGGCCACCTGGGCTCATTCCTCTCCAGGGGAGGAAGACTTGAGTTTAGAGAAGAAACCAGGACATGTGGCTCAGCCTCTTCGGGGCTTCTTTATCCTTCAGACCTGCCTGTCTGCCCCAGGGTTGGAGGTGTGTGCATGTCAGGGTGGGGTCTAGAGCCAATTCCAGAAAGCTGGTACCAAAACTCCATTCCTCAGCTGGCTTTATCAGTCAGAAATCTACATTTTGATTTAAAATAAAAATTAGCCAGATGTGATGGCTCATGCCTTAATCCCAGCACTTTGGGAAGTAGAGGCAAGAAGATGCCTGAGCTCAGGGGTTTGAGACCAGCCTCCTGGGCAACTTGCTGAGACCTTGTCACTACAATTAAAAAAAAAAAAAAAAGGCCAGGCTCGGTGTAATCCCAGCACTTTGGGATGCCAAGATGAGAGGATTGCCTGAGCCCGCAGGTTCAAGACCAGCCTGGACAACTTGGCGAGAACTCATCTCTATAACAAATAAAAAATAAAAAATAAATTAGCCGGGCATGCTGGTGCATGCCTGTAGTTCCAGCTACTTGGAAGTCTGAGGCGGAAGGATCGCCGGAGCCTAGCAGGTCGAGGCTGCGGTGGCCGGGAGTGTGGCACTGCCCTCCAGCCTGGGTGACAGAGTGAGACTCCTACTAAAAAAACAAAAACATCAGCCAGGGATGGTGGCTTGTACCTGTAGTTTCAGCTACTTGGAAGGCTAAGGCAGAAGGATTGCCTGAGCCCAGCAGGTTGAGGCTGCGGTGGCCAGGAAGGTGCTACTGCCCTCCAAGCCTGGTTGACAGAGTGAGGCTCCAACTCAAAAAAAAAAAAAAAAAAGAAATGAATAAAAATAAAAACAAATGTAAAGCACTAAGCATGGTATCTGGTAGAGTAAACACACTCTAAACAGCTGGTGAAATTATTTCTAGACCTTGGTGTGACTTATCATGTCAAACCCTTTCTACTGAATTTAGTCAGGAATTTTTTAAGTTTCTCACCAACTTTCTCTAAGGAGAAGAGTTAAGTCACTGGCAACCTCAAAACTTCTTTGAAGCTGGGCATGGTGGCATACACCTGTAATCCCATCACTTTGGGAGGCAGAGATAAGAGGATTGCCTGAGCCCATGGGTTAAGATCAGCTTGGGCAACATGGCAAGACCTCGTCTCTACAGTAAAAATATTAGCTGGGTGTGGTGGTGGGAGCCTAATTTCCAGCTACTTGGAAGGCTGATGTGGAAGGATCACCTGAGCCCAGCAGGTTGAGACTGCAGTGGCCGTGAGCATGCCACTGCACTCTGGCCTAGGCAACAGAGACTCAGACTCAACAAAAAAAACTTTGAAACTTTATTGTTCTACCTTAAAGTTAAGCAGGAATTTTCTGTTTATGTCCTATTATACCCATTTTCTAATAGAAAAAACAACCATTTCCCCACAAATCTTTAAATGAAGATGTGGTTCATTTATCCTGAATGCTCTAGTTTGAGGAACATCCCCCAGCCCAGAGCCTCCCCAAACTCATCATCAGCCCCAACTTCTTGGGCGATGCAGCCCTCTTGGATGCACCAGAGCCCATACCTGGCATAGGTGGGGGTAACAACATAGATAGTAGGCAGGGCCTCAGGTTCAGGGGGCTGGGCAGGGGCAGGGGGTGGGCGTCGGAGATCGGCTTGCAGCTGGGAAATCCTCAGATCCTTCTGCCGAAGCTGCTCGGCCGCTGCCCGCAGGGGAGAGAGGCAGTCACATGGCTGGCCTGGTCCCAGGAAGCATTGATGGGGAAAGGAGGTGGGGGCAGAGAACCACAGAATGTTCAGCATCCCAGTGGGCCGTAAACTACTCATTTAACTCCTAGCCAACGCAGAAATCCCCTTATGACTTTTCTAGTAGCCTTTTCTACACGCGCAGCGTGGAGAACTCCCTGCTTCTAAAGCAGCCGCTCTCCACCTTTCACAAGTTCCTGTACAGTTTTCGCCTGGATATTGAGCTGATTTTCTGCCTCCATCCCTTCAAACTGCTGGTCTTAATTGTGCCCTTCGGACTCATAACAGACCAGCAGATGTCCTTAATAGGCCAGTCTTCCAAATACCTGAGGATCGTGCAGTGGCACTGTCCCTAAATCCCTGCATAAGAGGCAGGGTTCAATCTGTTCCCTTGGCTGTGCGACCAAAGACTCGTCGTTAAATTCATTGATTCCATCATTGGACATTTATTGAATACTCTTCCTGGGAGACACTGCCTGAGGTGCTGGGGACAGGGCAGGGAACAAAACACACATAGTCCCTGCCCTCATGGAGCTTTCAGTTTAGTTAAGGAAGCAGATACTAAGCAAAGCAGCAAATTAGTAAAATCGTTACAAATAGTAATAAAGGCCAAGAAGAAAACAAATGCCATAAAGAATAAAAGGGAATTGGGAACGAGAAGTTATTTTCGCCATGGAGGTCAGGGAGGGCCTCTCTGAGAGGTGACATTTGAGCTAAGACCTGAAGGATGTGAAAGAGGCAGCTCGGGAAGAGCTGGGAGAAAAGCACCGCAGGCAGAGGAAACAGGTTAAGCGCTTGGGAGAGTAGTGAGCGTGGGGTTTTCAAGAAACTGCCAGGAAGCCAGTCTGGATGAAGCAGCGCGAGGGAGAGGAGTGGGAAATGGGACTGGAGAGGTGCACGGCGGCAGGATCATGCGGGGCCTTGCAGGTTCGGGAAGGAGGCTGGATTTCATCCGAGGTGCGGCGGGAAGCCGCGGTGCGTTAGAGAGGGGAGTGCACCCGTGGCCGCAGGGCGGGCCGTCCGGAGGGTTGAGCAGGATGAATGGTGTCTGCCGGGGTTCATCCCCAGGGCGGGATGCACGGCGGCAGGCGCCCTCGGGCCGGCC